ATATATATATTGTAGGAAAGCTGAATATCGCGTTGGGAGAATTTGGTGCTATATACTACCATGCTTCTTACTATGCGTCTTAGACTGTTGTTAATGAAGAGTTCCTTGATGCTAAATTTCCTGACAGACTGAAAATTCCTCGGAAATTAGTGTGATGTTAAGGAAAATTTTGATATTAGTAAGATTTTTTTTACTGGTATGATTCGCAGGACTTTATTTATGTCTCTTGCTAACTACAAAACCGCATCCGAATTAATGCATGGCAGTAGATATCACAACTTGCTTTTCTACAGCTTGCCTGTCCTGACCATCTCGTTTTCTGAATACGCAATGTACCCTCCAATACCTTTCCTATACAGGGTTCGGGCATTTTATTGTTGTAATTGGTACAAGAAAAATAATTTTCAATGTTATGAATTATAACTTTCAAGGCTTCAAACTATTAATTTTGTTAATAAATTTAATGAATTTAATGTTTTGTTGACCAGTCATTGAGAGTGCAGAAAGAAGCATGGTCTGAATTGATTTGACACAAAAACAATCGATAGGGCGTTCAATAAAGAGTATAAGAAAATTTTATCGTAGTACATAGCAATGTTCTTCTGAGAGAGAAAGAAGAGGCTGATATGGCTAATGTCACAATTTTAGGAAGTCGCAAGGACTTCAGTTTCAATATCGCATTTGAAGGGACCTTTAAAAATGACAGATCTAGAAATCCCAAACTGACTAACTGGGGGAATTTCAAAAAGTTTTTAGAGTGCAGTACTTTTATATCCTTTCGCAAGACTTCATAGTAAAATCCAAACCCCCTTAGCAGAGTAAGAAGTTTGAAGATATTAGTAAAGGGGTCAGAGAGTTTTTCAAAGTAGATGTTAGAACATATAATATACGTCCATATTAAGACAAAACTTAAGGCAAAAATACTATCGGTAGATACAGCGTTACATAGCGTTGTAAGACAGATAAAAAAGGCGTTGCATCACATTGAACATGCTATGGTGATATTTTTAGATATAACAGAAAACTTCAATAATAGTTCAGACGAGATTAGATAGGTAGTATTTTACCACTCTGAATGGAGAGTATCGACTGAATGGAGAGTAACTTATACGATGAAACTGGTCGGTCAAAGGGACGCTGCTTGTTGTTTGATGCCAAAATCACGAAACTCACTTAATATGCAGATGAAATCAAAGTCTTAGTAAGCAGAAGATGTCCAAGAACCCTCGGGTCTGCAATGAATCGAACACAATATTATTAGGAAGTCGGCATTCAAAGATCAACTTAAAGCAAATGTAAAAAAAAACACATAAACCTTTCAATACATAAACCTTAATTAAGAGGAATTACACTGATGCTGAAAATACATACCAAATACTAGGTTGTGATGATAGTCGGCAAGCTGTTACGGTAGCTTATTGTGGAAGAGAAGGCGAAGAAATCCTTAAAGCCTCTCTATGCATGTAACAGAATATTGAGTAGTACCTAAGTACTGTCTTCTTCATTAAGACATTAGGTTTTCGGTTCAGTTATTATGTAGTGTTTCATGGGGTATTGGATAATAGCAAGCAAGAAAATTCTAAGGGGAATAATAGACGACGTAGTCGCATGTCTATACTTTGAAAGGGGTCTGGACGTCGTAATTGCGACGGATAGCTGACGTAAGGGTTTTTAGAGTATAACAAAAAACAACAAAAATTATTCAACAAGTAAGTGCGACCAAATCACAGAAAAATCTTTTAAGCAAAGCTTGATCTACTGGATGCCGACACATAAAGGCATAGAGGGTAACAAAATTGTGGATAAGCTGGTCAAGTAAAGGGTTATATCAAAAGTCTTGCTTAACCGAAACATAAAAGTGCAAGGAAACCAAGGTCAGTTATGACTCGTACAACGTAAAAGTTGAGAGTATTTAAAGCTTCATATTCTCACTGTGACGAATAGACTGTAGGATGCAAATAGGCCTGCTCAGGAGGCATTGTCTGCTATCACCGAATGTGCAAAATTGGAATTGATCGACGACGAAATGCTGAAAATGTGAAATACTGAACTTATTAGACACGATGGAGCATGTTATCTACCAGTGTTCAGCATCGATGATGATTGATCAAGGCAAAAGTATCTAGACGATCTATAGCTCACGGGTCTAAATGGCGCCATGGAAAAAAAAGTTGCCCAACTACTGCAATATGTTAAAAATATTCCAATATTATATGAGAAGCTTATGCCAATACGTTCGGAAATTGTTGTTTTTCTACCCCTGATAACACTAACAGCTTAGTTGGTCTACGAGATTGCACATAACTTTTGGATTACGTAACTGTAGTTTGATGCCAATTTCTGATAGAAGACAGAGGATATAGAACAGAATTATACTTATTCTATCTTACACAGCAAATCAGACAACTGCAATTAGTATTGAACTCTCGAGTCATATTCGTGTATTGGTTGGATTTTACTTAAAATGCCTCTGACTTTTTTTTCGTATGCTTAACTCTATCTGACTCATGCATAAAACTTAAAGTACTTATAATGACTTATACTCTTCTCATATGATACTTACTACTACTCATACTAGACACAAATATAAAACAAGTGGTTTAAGAATTGTTTATAAGTAATGCGCCAAGGCGAAAAAGTGTTTTACGAAAAACACTGCGAAAAAGGGGAGCATTTAAAAATTGATATAATTTATTTATTGTTATTAACTTTTAACTGTTATTCAAAAATTATAAATATGTTATTACTAAATATTATTTTAACCTAAAATAATCTCTAATTTAATGCATAACACCAAAACACAAAAAGAATAACATCACAATTTTTTTGCTCAGCAACCAACAGCGCTCACACAAAATTTATGCAATATTTGTACGAATGTCTAAACTGACCAACACCGCAATTATTACCTTCATTCATTGTTGATATGTACACTCATTGATTCATACTATTCGAGTATATGATAATCAGAGTTCGTATTTGCCTACATAATCATAATAATAATAATTTACTTCATAATCAGTTTTAGTGTAGTACTACACCTTGAAAACATATGTCAAATAAATTTTAAAATGCCGGCGATAGCAGTTTTTCGTTTTGTTTTAGACAATCCTTTAAGAACTTAAAAAATAATTTCATAGCACGTTTACACTGTCTCATTTAGGCCACAAATGAGGATGATTTACCATACAAAGTGCTTTTATATAAATGAGCTTATTATCAATAAATTATTATCAGTATCAATAAATCGAAAAAAAAAATAAAAAAAACACTCATTTAAGGCGAAAAATGAAGAATGCAAATAAATTTCCCGCAAGGGAAATTTAGAAATTATTTCAGCATACACGCTATGTCCATAAAAATACTATATTCATGTGATTTGAATGTTCATTTTTATAATACAAATCAGCTGTTTCGACTTTACTTGAATTTTAACTGAGAAAATTATTGAAGTAAAATTTAAACAAAGTTTGTGAGATACGAAATGGCAAACTCTCTCACCTTGCTTGATTTTAAGTACGGAAACAGAAAATAATAAAATCCAAGTAAAAATTACAAATACATATTAGAAAAGACCTGATATTAAAATTTGCATTCAAAATTCGATAGCATTTAATAATATAGGAAGTATTTTACGCATACTGTAATATAAAATATATAATATTTATATGAATAAAATAAAAGATTAATATACAATATACTTAGGATTAAAATTAATAAAGAATAAATATGAATTAAAAGTAGTTATTTTTCATTTAAGCAAAAGTGCCAGTGGGTATGAAAAATCTGATTTACTAAATTTTGGTTAGATAGCGTTTTTGTGTTTTCAATTGGAACTCATTTGTAACTTTTTTACCATGTTTTTCACTAATTACTTAGTAAGTTAACCTCTCCATTAACATAAGTCACATTTCATAATTGGGAAAAAAGAAAAATTTCAGTGTTTTATTTTGAAATTTTCAACATTTTTACCATTCCTTTTAATTCTGTATTAATTTTAATTTCCAATTAATGTTAATTATTTATTTTTATACAAAATGTGATTTGCTTGCATTATATCACATATGCAAGATTTGCTGTTTGTCAAAACATAACACTTGACAGATTGCAACAGTGATGCCAATGCTCACGTAGCGAATATACACCTGCATGCATTTTTTGCCATACTTGTGAGCCGCCGAAAAAGACTTTTATTAATTTACTGTAAGTACGTACAACTACTATTTCTATTACTACTATTTTTTGTTGTGATAAATAATAAGATTTGAATAATATCAAAGAATATTCTTTCAATTAAACAAACTTAAAAAAATAGGAAATCTAATGCATCAGTTAATACTTTTTTGACATATATTTCTTATAGTTTATGTTTTTAAACAAAAAATTAGTAAAATACAAGTAATATTTATTTATTTGATAACTGTAGGTACGTACAACTATTACTACTACTATTTTTTGTTTTAATATATAACAAGATTTGAATGTCGTAATATCAAAGAATATTCTTTCAATTAAATAAACTTACGAAGAATAGGAAAGCCAACGCATCAGTTAATACTTTTTTGACATAATGTGGTGGTAACACTGTTTTGGAATTTTTGAAACGGCTGTGCAAATATGATGCAGTTGACGTTTTGCTCGTGTCGTGTGAAGTGTGTACGGTGAGGTATTATGGTTTTTAAAACTTCACACTAGACTAGTTTGTGGTTGTAACAAATATTATCATTTAAAATTATTAAAATATATGCATGTTTTAAATGAAGTCTTCTAATACATATTTATAATAATTTATAAAAAGTGCTTCAATAATTTTATTTGTTTTAAACGGTACATGCAAAATTGTTAAAATTGGGGACAGGAAATGGAGCAGCATCACGTTCAATAATAAAAAGAATTCGTTTGTTATTTTATATTTTATAAAAGCACAAGTGATAAAAATTTATAATTATTTTTAATAATATGAATAAATATATATAGTGATTGTTCGGGAATGTGTTTGTTGAAAATATATAAATAAATAGTGATACCAATTAAAAGCATTTTTAAGGTAATTTATTATCAAGCGAATTTTAAAAAATAGATAAATTATTTTTCACACTGCTCGATGAAGTGAATTGAGCTAAATTCCCAACGAAAGCAGAACCAGTTGATTTTGTTGTTGTTGTTGTTGCTGTGGCTGTCGCTGTTACTATTATTCTTAAGTTGCTAATGTTGATTTCGCTGATGATGTTTGTTTCTTGCACTTTGTTCAACTGCAATTCTTATGTTATTTTTTGTTATTTTTTGTTTGCTTTTGTTTTGGGGTTTAGTATATACTTTTTATATATCTATTTTAATTATTTCTGTTATGCAAAATTGTTTGGGTTTGTGTTTTTCCAGTTCTGAGATTTCCTTACCGTGTCTCTTTGTTTTATTTTATATTTATTTATATAAATTTTTCGCCTGAATATGAACTTGAGTGTCTTCTACAATAACGTTAAACAATTTTTTTAATGGACCTTGGATTCGAAAACATGCCAATATCGCAAACAAGTATCTCACATACTTAAATTCGACTTGCTTCTCAAAATTTCGGTAAAATGAAAAACTTTAAAGTACCATGACTACAATGAACTGCTTATTCTGCATTCATCTAATGGAAAAGATCAACTGATTTTATTGGTATTAGTTTTATGGCTGCTTTAATAATAACAAAGGCTTTAAATAAGTTGAAATCGATAAAACCAGTGTAAAAAACCTTGATCTTTTAGGGAAGTAAAAAGTGAGTCAACAACACTCAAATAATTATTTTTAAGAATTTTTTCTCAGTATTTATAGCATATAACTGAAGTCAGATGTATATTCAGACTTAAATTAATATTTATATTTAATACCCATTTTTATTATTTTGCTATAAAACTCTAAATTAATATTAAAAATTTTAAGAACTAATACAAAATAAGTCTTTTATTAGCTACATTTTAATAATTCTATTATTCGAATCAAAGATAGTACTTCGGAAATGGTGCCTTATAGTTCCGTACTACTTTTATAAATATCTAACACCTAAATTATCTATATATATATATATATATATATATATTTCAAAAATAAACGAACTGAGTGCCACATACAAGTTACGTTAAAAGATAACTCTAAAACAGAATAATATTAAAATTTAATAATTAAAAATAAAAATATAATTAAGTTATTCAATTATTCTACAGCTGGTTTATGATTTCGTTCTAATATAAACACAGCAAGTAAATTTGTTAATTAAACTTTAACAGTAAAATTAACAAAACTCCAGAAAAATGTGCGAACATAAAAATCAAGTACGACTTTGGGTCAATTGGTTAAGAAGCACTGACTCTAAGCTTCAAATTTGGCAACACACGAGTTCGATTCCTAGTACTTGCAGTCTCAAAAAATTATTTACAAATAATTAAATACAAAAATAATTTCCAAGACCACTAATGATAGGTATTATGGGCAATACTCGAAACAGCTATGTTGTCAGTCAAAAATTCAATTATTTAAAATAATATAAAAAGAATTTTTGTTGTTGTAATTCACTACTATTGGAAAAAAAACTTATCTAAATGATATAGATAATTGTTTGAATTCCTTTCTGATATTAATTTTATGTTAAACAAAGTGTGAGTATGATTTAAATGAAGTTATGTGTAATCTGACAAATAAAACTCATTTCATGTGTTTTAAGAAAGTAGTGTTCTTTTAGCAATGCAAGCAGTGTCTGAAAACAGACTTGAACTTACTATAACCCCCTCTAAGGAGTGCAAAATAGACAAATTTCTGCAATTGCATCGTAGAGGTTAAAAGCTTAAATTAATCATTCTAGTAATTTAGAAAAAAGCAGATGTTAGAATATAGAAGGCTTAGTTTATAGATAACCAATATATCTAATCCAAAATTGGAAAGAAGTGGGGATAGGAAGGGAGAATGTTTTTTCTAGGTAGAGTAATTAAATGAATAGCATCGGACGCTACAGACTTAAAGTTACCATAACCAATCTTAGGAGTGCAAAATAGACAAATTTCAGGAATTGCATCGTAGAGGTTAAAAGCTGAAACCTCATTCTAGTCATTAAGAAAAAAGCAGACGTTATAATACAGAAGACTTAGTTTATAGACAATAAATATATCTAATCTAAAATTGGAAAGAAGTGAGAATAGGAAGGAAGAATGTTTTTGCTAGGTAGTAATTACCAAAAGTGAAGTCTATGCCAGCGATTACTGTAATTACGACTGCAAAATAGTATTACAGAAGAAACGCAGACGATAGCGTTTAACTTGTTTAATTTACTAAACGACAAAAACTAGCGTTAAAACGTGATAAACATATGGTAAGTCTAAGTAGACTAGAAATATGGAAGAAATCAGTATATATAAAATCGTCTATGCAGTAATAATTAAACTGATAATCTAGATACATTATACATTCGATAGACCTAAAATTTATCATAAATATTAATATTTACCATAAATATTAACTAAATTATTGAACCACCTAAATTTAAGACTTAGGACAAAAATGATTAAATTTATTATAGATATTAATGTATATTTTCTTGTCACTATTACATTTTTATATTGTTAAGCGTAGAAATATGTTTTATAATGTTTTATACGTACCATTACCGTATTTAACGCACCGTTACTATGTCGTCACAATAGTGGTATGCCCTGCGTCCAGGGCCCCTTTTGATTGATTTATTTCTCTATTCGTTGTAAGTTTTCGAGAACATGTTTTCTCCATATTAGTATGATCGTCCAGTTTTCTTCGAATAGCATAATCTTTGAGGTTTATATCATCGATTATTGTTTTCAGTTATGTTGTTTTGATGTTTGAATTCTTGCATCTCAAGATGGTGTGTTCAGATTTGTGAGAATAATTTATTATATTTTTATATATAGGTATTTTTTGTAATTATATGCTTTTATATTTTTAAATGTTTTAACTTTAATACGTAAAGTATTTTTATTTATTTTACGATTGTTTTCAAAATCAATCGCAGTCCTTTTAGTAGTTTTTTTTTTTGATGGCTAATTAGATATTTGTGTAGTCGGTATCGTTGCGATTGAGGCTAGAATAAGTAATAACGAGGAAAAAAAATGAAATAGTTTTTACAGTAATTTTTTTTGAACAAGGTATATATTTGTAGAGAAAATTAGGAACGGACTAACAGATAACTAATGTGCATTTAATTTAGCTAGCTATTTCGGTTAAATTGTAGGTAAATTCAAGAGATTATGTGCAATGAAAGTGTTATGCTCAACTTGCTTTAAAATATGTCATTTAAGTTAGGTATATTTAAGTATCGTTTAAGTAACGACGAATTCATGGTTTGTCTGATTATACGCGATTCTATTCTATATATGATATTATGGCATATGGCGATGTTATAATTTGTGGTGGTATGTGTCCAGTGGCGTAACTACAGGGAAGCGACTGGAAGCAACGCTTTTGGGCCCACGAATTTAGGGGGCCCCATTATAAATTTATGTATTCATTGTATTTATTTTTAATAAATTTTCAAAAGTGGTACGAAACGATTTGCCGTATAGTTGTGCTTCAATCCTCAATTTCTATCGGTGCTATATTTAAATCTGCATCTACTCCATATTGCAAAATAGTCCATTAACCATTAACATATACCAAATTTCATTGGCGTATCTTTATTAAAAACGGAGAAACCCCATATGCGGTTGTTAAGTTTATATGGCAGCTATAAGAAATAATAGTTTAATTTCAATTAAATCATATGGTGATCAGGGGCCGCTCTCAAAAAGTATGTATGTAAAGTTTCATTCGAAGAGTTCAAAAGCTGAGAGAGTAGTTTGAACTGAAAAGGTATATATATACTTTACTGATATATACTTTATAGTATTTGCGACGTTTCCTTTAATGCGTTACGAAAATCTGGACAAACTTTATATACCCTTTTTACACTTTTTCGTGTAAAGGGTATAAAAAGATGTTAGTAGGGGCCCCTTAGTTAGTAGTTGCTTATAGGCCTAAAAAATGTAGTTACGCCACTGTATGTGTCGCTTTCCCTCTGTTGTTAATCGCTTTTTAATATATGGACTATCATTGGATTTTTAGTTTTAAATAAAAAGTTCCATTTAGGAAATGTGTAATATAAAAAATTTCGATCAAAAAGTTGCAGCTCTACATTTTCCAATTCCAAAATAAATATATATATATATATATATATATATGTATATATTGCGTTTAACTATTGTGATTTAATTTTAATGTGAAATATTATACGAGTTCATGTTTCCAATCTGTTTTCGAAGACCAGTATTATTTCTATAAGTGGGGTTTGTGATTTCAACTTTCTCCACTAAGTGGTGTTTATCCACTAATAAAAATATAATACTGGCCTTCGAAAACAGTTTGGAATCATGAACCCATATAATATTTCACATTAAAATTAAATCAAAATAGTTAAACGTAATAGTGCCCTTTATATACACATTTTTCTTCTAACATGAATCTAAAATACTAACGGTAAGCACTATAGTGCTACAATCTACCACTGTTTGTTTTTTCATGTGTTTCAATGAAAAAATTATATGAATTTCAAGTGCTTATGGTAAGCACTATAGTGCTATAATCTACCACTGTTTGTTTTTTCATGTGTTTCAATGAAAAAATTACATGAATTTAAAGTGCTTATGGTAAGCACTATAGTGCTACAATCTACCACTATTTGTGTTTTTCACGTGATTCAATGAAAAAATTATTTTTTTATCGTGTTTTCAAGCGCAAAATTAAAAATAAGAGACCTATAAAATTTACGAATCTCAAATTAAAAAAAAAACACATTTTATTTTATTTTGTAATAACTCAAAACTTTTGTTAAAATTTTAAAATGTAAAGTTTAAATTATAATAAATATAAACGCCCTATGTAAATATTTAATACTGAACATAAATAACATATTTTAATTATTAAATATAAGTTTATAAAATTAAAATATTTGAACAATTATAATTTTTATAATACATATTTGTTGTCTTTGGAAATAATTAAAATTGT